CAGGTATGGGCATAGCCCCAAGTGTGGGCACAGGTGTGGGTTAGGCGCAGGTGTGAGCACAGGTATAGGTGCAGGCCCAGTTGTGGGTATTGGCCCAGATGGGGGTACAGGCCCAGATGTGGGTGGAGGCCCCAGTGTGGGCACAGATGTAGCTGCAGGCCCAGGTGTGGGTGCAGGTATGGGTACAAGCCCAGGTGTGGGTATTGACTCAAGTATGGGCGCAGGTGTGGGTGCAGGCCCAGATGTGGGTGGAGGCCCCAGTGTGGGCACAGGTGTAGGTGCCGGCCCAGGTGCAGGTATTGGCCCAAGTGTGGGTACAAGTGGGAGTGCAGGTGTCAGTGCAGGCCCAGGGGTAGATGCAGATACAGGTAAAGGTGTGGGTGCTCACTAGGACTGAGGCTCATGGCTGCCTCACAACTGAATAAAAGATCAGGGCCCGGGAGGGGGCCTCTGATGGGAGTTGTCCGGGGCGGGGGGAACTTTGGCCCCAGTTTTGCTCTAATAATGCCAAATTTTAGACTTTTGACGTCATCTCCCAATGAGAGCATACATGTAGCTATTTAATTCATGTATATGTTAAAACTGTTAACTTGTTCAATGTAAATATTTCAAATGGACCCCATTTTAGCATTTCTCCATTTTTCTATTCGCCAAGAGCCTCAAAATATGGAAATGGCTTATGCCTCTCTTGATCTCTGAGAGGCCCCAGACCATACCCAATGAGGAACCTGTGGGCCACCTCCTGGTCTGAGGAAGCTTGGGAGATGTAGCTTCGACCCTGAATTGTTGGTGTTCTGGGACATTTGTGGGAACAATGGGACAGAGGGTTGGAATCAGAATTATCCTAAGAATACTGAATAGTGGTTTACTTTCCCCAGCTCAGCTGGCCCCTGGCACAGTTCCTGCTCCACCCCCAGCCAAGTTCTTGTCTGAGCTTTCCATTATTTATACACTTCTCCCTAATCTTGCGCCCATCCTGGGCACCACAGATGTTTTCTTCTCTCAGCCGAGTACTCTGAAGAATGATGAACTTGTAAAAGCATGCCTGTCAAGTTGGTACTGAAATATGTATGCCTACATGCCTGTGTCAATGAGCGTCAGGGAGGGGTCACCTTTGGCAATTGCAAGGGCATTAATACTGCCTGGGAAGATAGGACTAGGCTGAACCAAGCAGACAGAAAAAAATGTCATTATCTGTCTTTATCCTCCTCCCCTAGAAATGTGCTCACTCTGTTACTCTTCATTGCAAGAGCGTTTATTTCTGGAGGCTTTCAAGCGGCATATGTTTACACACCTGAGGTAGGAGGGGTGTCTGGGAGCTGCTGGGGAACGGGCTGTGGGGAGAAAGTGGCTGGGGGGATGCTCTGCTTCCAGAAACCATTGAAAAGAATGAGGTGGCCCTTGCAGAGGGAGTGGATCATGAGAGAATTTAGGTATTCTGATCTTTTACAAAGAAAATGTATCTCTGTATTGTTTATGTAATTGAGTGAATTGAAATATTATATATAAATGCATTGGTATGCACTCAAAAAGTATGCCCCGAATAAGTAATCATGCCTGTAATCCCAACACTTTGGGAGGTCAAGGCGGGAGGATCACTTAGGCCTGGAAGTTTGAGACCAGCCTGAGCAATGTAGCAAGACCGTCTCTCTAAAAAAATAAAATAGAAATTAGCCAGACTGTGGTGGTGCACATCTGTAGTTCCAGCTACTCTGAAGGCTGAGGCAGTAGGATCACTTAAGCCTAGGGGGTGACGGCTGCAGTGAGCCATGATCACGCCACTGCACTCCAGCCTGGGCAACAGAGCAAGACCCTGTCAAAAAAAAAAAGAATGAGGTAGATGTCTATGTATTGATGTGGATAGGATTTTAAGACACACTACTGAATGGGAAAGGCAAATTGCAGAATAATATATATTATATGATACCATTTATGTATTTTTAAAATGCTATCTATTTCCATATGTATATTTTTTTTAACATATCTGGGAATACACATTCCAAAGATATCCCTAATAGGAGGGTTCTATGGGGAGAATTTTCCTAGTAGAGAGAGTGGATCATGAAAGAATTTAGGTATTTTGATTTTTTACAAAGAGAATATATTTCTATATTGTTTATGTAATTGGGTGAATTGAAATATCAGGTATAAATGCATATGGTATGCACTCAAAAAATATGTCCTGAATAAGTAAGTGAATGAAGATGCATGTGCTATAGATAGCCACAGGAAAAACTAGAGGAATGTACATCAAAATGTGACAGATCTCTTGAGGGTTGCGATCCTGAGTGAGTTGTATATTTTCCTGTTTACATTTTTATTCTTCGCAAGCTTTCTGCACGGAGCATTTCATTTATTAGAAACATGCCAGCTAATGTAACAGAGAACTCCCAGAGCGGAGTGTTCTGACACAAGAGCAGCTTGTTGCTTATCAAAGAGGCCAGGCCAGGCACAGTGGTTCCCGCCTGTAAAACCAGCACTTTGGGAGGTCAAGGCAGGTCAATCGCTTGAGCTCAGGAGTTCACGACCAACCTGGGCAACATAGTGAAAACCTATCTTTACAAAAACTACAAAAATTAGCTGGGAATGGTGGCACATGCCTGTTGTCCCAGCTACTCAGGGTGGGGCTGAGGTGGGAGGATCACCTGAGCCCCGGGAGGTAGAGGCTGCGGTGAGCCATGATTGTGCCACTGCACTCCAGCCTGAATGACAGAGTGAGACCTTGTCGCAAATAAATAAGTGAATAAAATACTGTAAAATAAGAGTCCAATATGGGTGGTCTAGGTTGGGGGACAGCTTTCCTCCTTCAGTGATCTGGGGACCCAGGCTCCTCACATCTTGTGCCTTTCTTATCTAGGGATCTCACCCCAGGGATCATTTGGCAATGCCTGGGAATATTCTGGATTGTCATAAGGTAGCGGGGTGGGCAGAAGTGCTACTGGTATCTTGTGGGTAGAGGCCAGGGTTGCTGCTACACATCCCACAGTGCACAGCAGACCCTCCCGCCATGACAAAGAATGAGCCACCCCAAAGCATTCATAGTGCCCAGGCTGAGAAGCCCTGCCTTAGGGCCATGGAGTCCTCCTCCCAGCCAGAAGACAGGGGAGGGCAGGGGAGAAAATGCACCCTTCTTAATGACTTTGGCCTGGAAGATACACAATCCCTTCTCACTTTGCCTAGGGAACAACGAGGCATGTGGACCCTACTGGGTGCAAACTGAGAGACTGTAAACATTTCCATCTCTCTTTATAAAATTCCTTGAAAGCCCATGACCCAGGCTTCAAGGTGAACTCGTGAAAAGAAGGTAGAGAGTGACATCTGAGTTGTGAACGTGTGGCAGTTCCTGGTGGAAGAGTCTTTGGGGAGCCCCACCCTCGGATAGGGAAGACCCCTTTCCTGGGTTCCCACCCACAGCTTGGCCTCTTGCCCTAGTTCTGAGTTGAACCTCCCATGCCCTTTGGGGCGAGGATCCTTGTCCCTTAAGGGCATAACCAACACCAGAGGGATTTGCCCTGACTCTGGGCTGCCACTGGGGTTGGTCCCATCAGCCTGGAGCTGGAGCAGGGGGAGGAACCTTCATGTCCCCATGCCCACATCTGTCCCCGGTGTTTCAGGTCTACCCCACGGCAACACGGGCCCTCGGCCTGGGCACCTGCAGTGGCATGGCAAGAGTGGGTGCTCTCATCACTCCGTTCATTGCCCAGGTAGGTGCTGCCCCCAAATACAGAGGGGTGGGGGGGGTCACAAAACAACGCACAGCCAGCAGTTACTACATGCCGACCGTCCGCAGAGCCCTCGGGGTGCATTAGCTCACTCTATCCTAACAGCACACCTGGGAACAGAGGAAATATTGCCTGCAGGTGAGAAGACAGAGGCTCAGGGGATAAAATGACATGCCCACGGTCATGCAGTGGAAAGTAGACAATCCAGGAGTCAAACCAGGTCTTCCCTGTGGAGCAGATCCTTGGGCTGCTTTATGATTTGCTTAAAAACAGTTTGGATGAAAACCAGTGGGCCATGGTAAGCGAATTAATGCAAGAGCAGAAAACCAAATACCGCATGTTCTCTGGGAGCTAAGCATTGAATACATATAGACATAAAAATGGGAGTAGTGGACACTGGGACCTCTAGGCTGGGGAGGAAGGGTGGGAGGCATGGGCAGAAAAAAACCACCTGTTGGGTACTGTGCTCCCTACCTGGGTGATGGGATAATTTGTACCCCAAACTTCAGCATCGTGCAGTATATCCATGTAACAAACCTGCAGTGGACCCATGACAAAAGCTGAATTTTTTTTTTTTTTTTTTTTAACAAAAGGAAAGATGGGTTGGGTACTGTCTGGCTCATGCCTGTAATCCCAACACTTTAGAGACTGAGGCGGGTGGATCACTTCAGGTCAGGAGTTCGAGACCAGCCTGGCCAACATGGTGAAACCTCCATCTCTACTAAAAATACAAGGATCAGCCAGGTGTGGTGGCAGGTGCCTGTAATTCTGGCTGAGGCACAAAAATCGCTCAAACCCAGGAGGCAGAGGCTGCAGTGAGCTGAGATTGTGCCACCACACTCCAGCCTGGGCGATGGAGTGAGACCCTGAAAAAGAAAAAACAAGGAAAGAAAACAAGTAGGCCAACACGATTTAGTGGAAAACAAATATGCCTGTTCCTGCTTTTCGAATTGGATCATTGGACGTCAGTGCAGAATTCTGCAACTCTTCATGTATCATGAAGCATTTCTATCTAGGGATCTTAGTACGTCTTTGCTTCTTGAATATCTAGTGTTTCTTCTGTTTGTATCACTTTTTTATTGAGATAAATGTCACATAACAAAATTACCCATCTTAAAGGGAACAATTCAGTGGCATTCAGCACATTCACAGCTTTGGGCAACCACTGCTTCTATGTAGTTCCAAAACCTTCTCATCACCCCAAAATAAACCCCTGGACCCACTGAGCAGTCACTTCTCATTCCTCGCCTCCCCCAGGCTCCTGGCAACCACCCATCTGCTTTCTGCGGATTTGCCAAGTCTGAATATTTCAGAGAAATAGAATTCAAAGACACGTTTAGCCAAGTGCTTCTGTTCTACTTTGGTTTTGGCCATTGTGCGGCACTCCTGACTGATATTGGTTGAGAGTTCACCATGTGCCTGCATGGTGCCAGGTGTCCTCAAGAGTCGTCTCATTAGGAAGTGACACCACTCTATGCCCATTTGGCAAATGAAAAAATGGGCTGGAAATGATGGTTCACACCTGGAAACCCAGCACTTTGAGAGGCCGAAGTAGGCAGATGATTTGAGGTCAGGAGTGCGAGACCAGGCTGGCCAACACGGCGAGACCCTCTCTTTACAAAAAATACAAAACAATTAGCCGGACGTGGTGGCACGCACCTGTAGTCCCAGCTAGCCGGGAGGCTGAGACAGAAGAATTACTTGAACCCAGGAGGTGGAGATTGCAGTGAGCATAGACACACCACCGCACGCCAGCGTGGGTAACAGAGTGAGACTCCATATCAAAAAAAAAAAAAAAAAAAAAGAGAGAGAAAATGGAACTCCGCTCTGCCATGTGCCATGTGCTGAGAACTAAGAAGTTGGCACAGGCACTGCACTGTCCCAGAGGAGAGCAGAGTTATAAGGTGCCCAGACTCAAGCTTAGCAGACCCCAGTTCAAATCCCAGCCCCATCCTTATTATCTGTATGAACTTGGGTAGGAGCCACTTATCCTCTTTGAGCCTCAATTTTCTCCTTTGTAAAATGGGAATGAAGTACTTGGCTCATAGGGCTGTGGCATGGCATCTGTGTTGGTCTGCTTTGTGTTGCTTTAAAGGAATACCTGAGACCAAGTAATTTATAGAGAAACAAGATTTATTTGACTCGCAATTCTATAAGCTGTACAAGCATGCACCAGCATCTGCTTGGCTTCTGGTGAGGCCTCAGGGAGCTTTTACTCATGGAGGAAGGCAAAGGAGGGGCAGTCATGTCACATGGAGAGAGAGGGACAAAGTGGGAGAGGGGTGAATCACCAGACTCTTTTTAGTAACCAGATATCACGAGGCGGCCTGATGTTACCAATACTGTTTGATGGTTGGTGAGGTCTGTGTTTCAGAAGGGATGCTTTCACCAACCTGTGGCTCCTTCCCCAGGTGATGCTGGAATCCTCTGTGTACCTGACTCTGGCGGTTTACAGCGGCTGCTGCCTCCTGGCTGCCCTGGCCTCCTGCTTTTTGCCCATCGAGACCAAAGGCCGAGGACTACAGGAGTCCAGCCACCGGGAATGGGGCCAGGAGATGGTCGGCCGAGGAATGCATGGTGCAGGTGTCACCAGGTCGAACTCTGGCTCTCAGGAATAGTGACTGATGGGGGACTGAGCTGGTCTTTGAGGCTGCAGAGCTCGGGGGGCTGGCAGGCCCCAACTGGGGCACTGATTGCCAACATCAAGAACTCACCCAAGAGTTTGACCTGGACCAACAGGGTTTTGTGTCTTGACTCAGTTTGCTCATATTCATTGAGGTCCACCCAGGGGTGGGGAGGTATTTGCTCTAGGGGGTTCTCTGTATATGTGGGGAAAGTTTTGTTCATAACCTGTGGATCTGCGTGGGAAAACTACCCATATTAGGAGGGTCTGGTGATGCCAGCAACTAATCAGACACCACCCAGAGTCACCTGGCCACACCTTCGGTGAAATAACCAAAAGATCTCTCTGTAGATACCATCCAGGCCCAGGCCCATGTGACACCTGCCAGCCACCCACCGGACCTGTTCAGTAGGTTTCTCCCACACCCACAGCCCCAGGCTTTCTTCTTTGAAATTGCAGGTGATCTAGTGTGGTCTCAGCAGCTATTTCCTGGCAGGGCCCCCTCTGTTTGCCTCCCTAGAGCCTGACCAGTGAATTCTCTGGCAGATGGACATTGTGCATTCAAACTGGAGCCACCTGCCCCAACCCAGGCCCCTCTGGAGTTGCCGTTGTTGGCGCCAAGAGATCCAGATGTGTCCCTGGGGACAGCTGGACTTGCACTGGGTGACAACCTCAGGAATCTGTTACCCCCTGGGAACTGAGGACTGAGGTCAAAGGAAAGTGAATCAAGCTCAAGCCAGAGCACGGGCCTCCCCTTCTGAAGCAGCCAAGGCCACGGTTGGGCTTCTTTCCTGACCCCCTCCTTGGTCAGGCTGAATGGTGACTTTTTTTTTTGGAGACAGAGTCTTGCTGTGTCACCCAGGCTGGAGTGCAGTTGCACGATCTTGGCTCAGTGCAACCTCTGCCTCCCGGGTTCAAGCAATTCTCCTGCCTCAGCCTCCCAAGTAGCTGGGATTACAGGTGCCCACCACCATGCCCGGCTGATTTTTGTATTTTTAGTAGAGACGGGGTTTCACTATGTTGGCCAGGCTGGTCTTGAACTCCTGACCTCAAGTGATCTGCCCACCTTGGCCTCCCAAAGTTCTGGGATTACAGGCGTGAGCCACCACACCCGGCCTGAATGGTGACTCTTGATGGGAAAAAGCTTACTCAGGTCCCAGGCACAAAATCCAAAATCCAGGGCTTTGGGTTTTGTGTAGATGGCTGAGTGGGCAGAGAAACCAAAAGGATGCTACACCCACCATCTCGTCCCGTGGGGATGCAAAGCTGCTCCTCTGTCCAGGGCCTTCTTGGTCATTACACAAAGGCAGCCCCTGGGGTTCCACTCATAGAGCCTGGCATGGAGTGGAGAGGGGCGAGAGGACTCAGGTGTGTGAAATGTGTATGTTTTCAAAGAAATGGGAGGGAGGCCAACTGGGTTTTGAGTTGGTCTCTGCAGGCAACGTCACTTCCGGGGATAGTTTACTGAAGCCTTTTTTGCCCATGCTGAAGGCAGGGGACCTAGACAAGGAGGGAGGGAGCTGGCAGATCCCATCAAAGGCTGGAGCAGACTGACCTACTGCTTGAAGTAAACATTGCAAGGAAGTCAACGTGTGTGTTCATCTCCTATTAAAACATGTCAGTGATGGACATCGCAAGAGTCTAAGTTTATTCATTGTCATCACGTCCTAGTGACAGTCCAGCCTAACGGTCTAGCTACCTTTGCTCATCGGAACTCATCTCAATGCTTTGGGATGATCATCTCCTTTCCAACAGTGGGGAAAGATGCGCCGTTGACTGCCAACATTGTGGCTGAGCCTGTTGGAGACAATGCTTTCTTCTAATGGTGTGCAGGTCATGATGGGGGACTTCTTCAAGCTCAAGTTCTAGATCAACTGCAAACAATACTGTGTCTCTAACATATGGATTACAGCCCCCTCGGCCCAGGCAGTTGGAGAGGAGGCGGCTTGGCAGATCCCTGCCTCTCTCTGACAACCACATTTTCTTGAACCACGTGTGGCTGTAGCTCGCATTATTTCTGGACAGCTGAGCTCTCTTGGGTAACACAGAATTGTTGCTTGTCTCTTTTGCCTTCCGGCTGGTCAGATGCTGCTGGATGATCGTGTCCGCTCCCTCACCCTAGAATAACCCAGTGAGCTGGGGGCTGGTGGGGGAAGAGTACTTGGTGGGCAGGAATATTTCCCAGGGAATGGGGTAAAGGGGTTTACACTTGAGGGCTTTCTCTACATGAGAAAATGAAAGTTAAAAACTCTTTGCCTTCTAAATAGCCTGCCCTTTTCAAAAAGTCAATATTATCGAATGGTACAAGAGCTATCACAAAAGGCACCCAAACCTCTGAATACACGAGACCTTTATCCAAAGACATTTGTATCTAATTTTGAACAATCCTATTCAAAAAGCTCCTATTTTCGTTAATGGAAATGCCATGTTTCTTTCAGAGTTAGGAAGGATCTGAGAAAGTGGCAGATATTTAATGTGGCCAGAGCTATATATTTCTGTCTTTCTCTTCAAGTATTCTCAAAAACATATAACTGACGCTGGTGGTGTTCCCAGTGGGATGAAACAGTATCTTAGGAATTGACTTTGAAATGGATATGGATATTCATCGTTTTTAATATAATGTTAAGCAATAGAAAGCCTTGAATGATGAGATCAAGAGTCTCCCCTGCCATTACTTTCAATGGCAAAAACCACAATTACTTTTTTTTTTTTTTAGACAAATTCTCAGCTCACTGCAACTCCGCCTCCGAGGATTAAGTGATTCTCTCACCACAGCCTCCTGAGTAGCTGGGATTACAGGTGCCTGTCTTGATGCCTGGCTAATTTTTGTATTTTTAGTAGAGATAGGGTTTCTCAAACTCCTGACCTCAAGTGATTCATCCACCTCTGCCTCCCAAATGCAATTACTTTTGCACCAACCTAATAACAGTAATCCCAGTCAATCGTGGCTCAAACCATTAGAACCAAAACCAGGCAGAGATCAGGAAAGGTTCAATGCTTAACAGTATCATCAAGAACACAGCTTCTTTTGGGCTTTCTTTTTCACCATCCTTTACATGTTGGCCATTTGACTCTGTGCTTGAAACCTCGTGGTCACAAAATGGCTGCCCTGTGCCGGATGTCATATTTATTTTTGAAGAAGATAGAATGGGAAAGGAGCTGTCATAAAAGGTTTTCTTTCAGAAGAGTCTGTTGTTTTTGGTTAGAAAAGGAAGCCCCCCAGCAGATTTACCATTGCTTCTCATTGATCAGACCTGGGTGGCATGCCGATCCTAGCATGCATCCTGCTGTAGGGCTGGAAGAAAGGGCCTGCCAGTATTAATGGGTACCCACAGCCTCTTGAACACAAAACTGGGATTCTGTTAGCACAGAAGAATAATAGCAATGGCTGTTGGATGGGCGATGGGTGCGAAGAGGAGCCTGCCATGGATGTGTAGACCACAGAGCTCTCATCAGCCCCGTTTCCATTGCAAGGAGAATAAATTCTGCTCAGGCTAATTAAAATTTAAAAATCAAGCTTTATTGTAAGACTGGGATCAGTAATTAATTTCCTACAGGAGAACGTCAGGCAATGCAAATCAGTGAAACGGAAAAGGCATAAAGAACAAGAGCAGGGACTGTAGCAGAGATAGAAACACCAGCCCTGTCTGCAGAGGGTAGCTGCAACTTCCTTCCACCTGATGTGCCACCTTCTGTCCAGTGTGACCGAATCTTCCAATGTTCAAGAAAGGAGTCTAGGTTTTTCTGTGAAATCTCCAAATATTATTGTATTGGATCAAAATGTTCAAATGATGTTTGAGTTCAATAAAATGCATCTGCAGTGAAGCTTTGGTTGATGAGCTGATGGTTTGCAGCTTCTGACAGTTTAGAGAGATTGCATAGCAAGAAAGTAGAGCCTGGTGTCATTCTGTGGAACAGGGAGCTGGGGAACCACCAGGGCCCAAGACCACTGCCTCTCTGAATCTGTGGCACTCGTTTCTGCCCTTTTCTGCAGACTGCCTTCCTTCTGTTTCCTCGTGGCTGCTGTGTATGCATGATCATGCACAGGGCTTCTGTGGGCTCATAACGCAGCTCTGCAAACACACCTGACTCAGCTGCTCAGTGCCCCACTCCCGAATCTTCAGGAAAGGAAGCTGATTGGCCCAGTTTAGTGTTGGGTAGAGTCCTGGTCCAATTCAGTTGGGTCGGAAAGGAGTGGTGGGGAGGTACAGACGTGGCGCTGTCCTGCCCTTTAGCGGGGTGGCACAGACAATTGCTGGAATGCCTGGAATCTGCAGTGATGTGCATCACCTCTCAAGTCTGTTCATCAGAACACTTACAGATCATGTCATGGCAAGTGGTCAGTATGCATGGAATATCCAGCGTGCACTGGACATGATATTCAACACTGAGGATGCAAAAAATCATAAAACATAGTCCTGGCTGGGTGCAGTGGTTCATGCCTGTAATCCCAGCACTTGGGGAGGCTGATGTGGGAGGATCACTTGAGGCCAGGAGTTTGAGGCTGCAGTGAAATTTGATCGTGCCACTGCATTCCAGCCTGAATGATGGGGTGAGACCCTGTCTGTTAAAAAAAAAAAAAAAGAAGGCTTGCCAGGCATGGTGGCACATGCCTGTAGTCCCAGCTACTCGGGAGGCTGAGGTGGGAGGATTGCTTGAGTCCAGGAGTTCTGGGCTGTAGTGCGCTATGCCGATTGAGTGTCCGCACTAAGTTCAGCATCAATATGGTGACCTCTC